CGATCGGAGAGCTTTCGTTGTCTTCGAGCGTAAGTGCTGCGAACAATACTCGGCGGTAAACTGGAAAATGGCATCTGGCGGCGTCGCATGAATCACGAGTTGTACCAAGTTTATAACGGCATGGATATTGTGAAGCTTATAAAACACGGCAGGCTACAGTGGGCTGGGCATGTGGCACGAATGCCGGAAGAGCGTCAAGCGAAGTCAATATTCAGCAGGGATCCCGGAAAAGGACGTCGGCTTCGGGGTAGGCCACACACGCGTTGGCTTTGTGCAGTTGAGGAGGACATTAGGTCCTTGAACGTCCAAGGCGACTGGAAGCGATTGGCTCAGGACCGAGACCAATGGAGACGGTTACTTCGTTCGGCGCAGATTTGAATTCAACGAGTCGTCGCCCATCAGGTACTCAGGTAGGTACAGTTGTCATTCTTTGCTTCACCGCAAGGAATCGATTCTAATTGAAAGGTCCCGCTATTTATACCCTTCGGAGTGTTGGAACACCCTCCAAAGGCGCGCCCCTTTGTCAGTCAAAATTGGATTCCCTAGCAACAAAATTAAGCAATGTCACCGATAATAAGCAGGGTTCTTAACCATTTCAAACTAGGGAACAACTAATAGAAGATTAGGAATCACATAGATGCAACCCGAGGACTTATCACTATTAATAAGGCGTAAAACGTGGCAGTCTTCACTCGGCCGTTGACAAAAGCAGGCCACCCCAGTGGCGCCGGTGGTGTAGTGGTAAGCGTGATTACCTCTCACCCCAGCAGGCCTGCGTTCAATCCCAGTCGGCGCCACCGAGATGTTCTGAGGCATAACATCTCTGATCAGCGCCGGGGAATAGTAAAAGGGAAGTAAAGCCGTTGGTCCCCGGTTCATGAGTTGATGGGTCGATAGATAGGGTCCAGGTGTGGGAGCTGCCTCCCTGGCGTCGGTAGCATTGGTGCTCAGCACGGAAAACAAATCAAAGGAAAAAAAAGCAGGCCACTCTCGATGTGTGCCATGCTATCGTCTGTTTTCTCGGCATTGTTTGGTCCTCATCATTGTTCTTCATCAGCAGTTCTTTCGGTTGATGCGTCGTCGACTTTGGAAAGCAACCGTTTAGTGATGAGTGTGTGAGTGACGACCACGTATTGCGTCCATTGCTGCAATGGAAGCGCTCTGACCCCTGTTGGCGTAACTGCCATACAATGAAACCAGTTCTGATGAAGCAGGCTTTTTGGATAGCGGAAGATAAAGTGTTTATTGTGTTGTACCTTTTGACTATAGTTTTAAGATGTATTGTATAGTGACCAAGAATCGTTGGCTCTGTTTTTAAATTAATATACAACAAAGCGTAAAACGTAACAACGACTAAGATGTGTTCCTTTGATTACTGAAGAATACTGATCTCTAGTTTGAAGTAGGTGGGACTAGGAATCGATGGTAGATCTTACATCCCGTAACGTACCACGAGAAGGTCATCTACCCACGTCACGGGGCCTTACTGTTACACTTTTCAAGAATATCTATTTCCAATAATCTTGAACTGTTTTCAAATACCTGGATTTCTCGAAGTCTCAGAATCTTAATATTTTTTTGTTAATCATGGATCTTGAATTTCGATAAATTATTTTTTTATATGATTTCCTAAGAAATGTGTCAAGGATAATTCCTAAAAGTCTTCAAAACTACTGTTTTTCCCCTTTAATAATCTTATGAATTCTTCAATAACAGCCTCAAAATTCTATACAGAACACTTAAAGAATTCCTTCCAGAAAACTCTTGAGGTTCACTCGCAATTCATCTTCGCATTCTTAATAATTCTAGCCAGAATTTGTTCAATATCTTTCTATTAATTTTCTCTAGAAACCCCTTGAAATATTGCTCGGAAATCTCTTGATAACCCATTTAGAATTTAGAAAATTTCCATGAATTTCACCTTAAAATTATATGTCAAATCAGAGTTTCCCTAAAAATCTGTATTTAGCCTTTTGGAGGATCTCTTGGATTCAACTCGGAATCCAATTTAAATTCTCTTTAATATTCCCTTGGAAATTTCTCCAGAATCTCTTGGAACACTACTGATAGTCTCGTCACCGTGTGCGAGTTTGAACACGGCCCGGTTGGCAAATTAGCCAGGGAAAGTGCTGATAATGCGTTTTGGTGGTGATTCGGTGCTGGACGTTGCCGTGAATCACCAAGTTTACGTCTTGCAAAAGTGCTCATCTGCTGGTCTCTCGCCAGTGTCGGAGATTGTGAGCAATCTGAAGGATGCCTCGCTGGATACGGCCAAGACTGGACGGGCGCTAGCTGGTGGCCGTGAACGGTTCCTGGGGAAGGACTAGAAGCGAACGTCCTCCCAGATGACCATGGCAATGCAAGAAAATTTGTTTACGTTGAAGGTAATTGCTATTAGAAATTTTTGCAAACAGTGACAGATAGCAGACATGAAGCTCAAGTGGAGGTGCCGGGCAAAGTTGTTATATCCTAGACAAATGGTAAGTTACAAATTCACTGTTGTCGTCGTCGTAGGCATCGTCGTAGTGGCTGTCGTAATCGCCGTCGTAGTCGCAGTTAATAACCAATAGTTGAATTGATTAAACTATAAGTTTCGGAAAGGGTGTATGCGTGATCTAGTTTGGAAGACATTGTTGGCTGCTTTCAGAGACGTCGCTTTATTTGAATAGCTGATCCGGTTCGGAAGACATTGTTAACTACTTTGGAGGATTTCATTTCATTGCAATAGTTTCTTGTAACCGATAATGAACGATCGTCGGTCGTAGCTTGTTGTAATGTGAGGGGCACGATGGCCTTAGAGCGACCGTTTTTGCTTACTGAGCAGAAGATCGTGGGTTAGAACCCAAGCTCATTCACCGTTGCTGAGTGCATAGGGTCGTGTCATTTGCTTAACAGCCTTTAAAAGATCGCATCACTTCCTAATGTGAATCCAGATCTAACTTACCCTTCCCACTAACAAAAACGTCCTTCCCGTGACAATCGTGGAGATGCAGAGGTATACTCGGTCTCTAGTCACAGCAGTTGTTGAAATAACAATCCTTTCCCTCCCCGATGGCCGTAAGGATGTAGCCGACGCCGTTATTGACCTCAAAAATAAGGATTCTCTGGATTTTGTACACAGAGAATGGATTGCTAGTCCCAAGCCCCATTCATATGAATAGTGCAGAATGATAAAATGGAAAATACACTTGCTTATTCAATCAATAAAGTTAATATTTTGTTGCTTATTATTAATTAATTAAATTCTTTTTTTTTTTTCGAGATAAAATTTATGGGATCCTTTATTTGTTTTATTTCAAAAGAGCATGAAAAATGTTCATGATGGGTTGTAATTGTGAGTTTATAAAATGTCTCAAAGTGGGTCGCAATCAATGATAGATTGGAAAGATGTTTTTCGATCAATAAATGTCACTATTGGTCACTTTTGTATTGTTTTAAAGTCACTATTTGATCACTTTTTCCGTTATTTATGTCACTAAAATCACTACTAGTATATTACATTGATTCACTGTGCAACTTCACTGAGTCTGATCCATCAAGAGGTAGCAACCATTGATTTGTGCAGTTACGTAGCCACTACCAGTCCATTTTATTGGATATATTCAGCTGTTGTTAAACCAAGATTAATTTCTTTGCCTATTACTTCTCTACCGAATCTTATGCTCACCCTAAACTTAGTGTTCCTTGAGCACTTCCACAATCTTTAATGGAGAGTTTTCTAAGCCTGTATCGTGTTTCCATTAGCTTCCATCATTTCCAATGATACTCTATGCCCACGGATGTTGAGAAAATGTTCAACTCGAAAAAATTCGAACCGGAAATTGAATCGTGGTTCTCTTTATAGCTGCACCCATACTGACTTAGCTAAGAGGGGACCCAAGCTTAAAATAATAATCAATGCATCACTAATTTGGTAGCAACTTAACTATGCTAGGGTAAAACCGATAACAAAAGTGGTCGATCATCAAAAGATACGACATACAGCAATCGAGCATATACCGCAATAGATGAAAAAAGTGGTCGCAGTGGTTAACATTGCCGACATAAAAAAACACATGACCAAATCGGGCTCAATAAACAAATATCTACGTCGCAAATTATTTCATCCTTGATATTAATAAACTTGCTTACGTACCTACCTACCCTCCCCAAAGTATCCCGTTTCTGTTTACCTCGCATGTTTGGCATTGTTTACTGCACACTTCCGTAAATCGAAACCGTATTTCTCCGTTTGGTCACGAACTAACTAAGCCTGGGGCAACTACTTCGAGGACCAGTCAAGCGCTGCATTCGCCGACTTGGCGAGTAACAACAACCATTGCTGTTACTTCAGCGAATCCCAACCAAAACAGTTGTTCGTACTCCTTTTCGAATGCCGCCTTCGACGTATTATGCAACCTTTTCATCGTGCTGAAACCAATGCAATGGTCTTGATAAAATAAATCACAAAACAGTGAAAGCAAAATCTCAATCTTGATTGCGCTTCGAAGAGACTACTCAGAACCAAAACAATGCCTCATAAAGCGGACACGTCCTTGCTAGAGGAGCGAGAGTCACGTCTTCGGAATTCTTTACGACAACGAGCCAGCCTTTTTGTTGCCGAGATCAAATTGCTTATGTATACTAGAGAGACAGAGTAACAACAGAATAATGAATTCACACCGTGTTTGTAATTTGCAATTGTGTAAATTTGAACTTCTGTCTGCAACCTTCCGTACCGTTTATTTTAGTATGCGATCGCTGCCGCTGATGGACAACAAAAGGTTCGAAATGTTCCCAAGTGGAATGCAATTTCCAAATACTCGTTGATAATTATTGCCTAAGCTTCGACTTATCACACGCTGTCCCCCCTCCCGGGAGGACGACTCTATTCCCTGATAAAAACCTGTTGCCGTTCCCAATTCCACACAGATAAGGCTCGAAAAGCCATCATGTGCGCACACACACGGTTCGCCGATAAGATTGCGTTAAACGAATAGAAAATGCTAAAACAAACATACACTTTGTCAGAAAAGTCAGGCACTGTTGCTTCTGCTATAATTTCACTGCTGCCTTGCGTCTCTGCCAGGTATCCCTTCAAACAAATATGCTCCAATAAGCTGCTGCAGCGGGGCAAAAGTGTGTCACCCGGGCGCTGATGATTAGAGTACTCCAAACTGTGACACCTTCAACCGCGCTTTTCGTCCCGTTTGTTTATCCAACCGACGACCGACCGAACGACCGACGAAAAACTACGCGTCCTATCCGAAATGATAAATACACTCGCCAAGAATCAAGTTTTCGGACGCCGCGCGAATGTTCCGCTCCAAGTTAAGTCGAAAGCAAGAACGATGTGAACTGTCCAAGTGTTGTATCCACACTGAAGCGGACTCGACTCGACTCCAGCAAAAATTCCAAACACAGCCACGTTCAACTCCCCCATTGCATCAGTTGATAAACCTAACTGCGTTATGAAAACAGAGCAGCGTGAATGCAAGATATTGTTTTGGTTTTAAACGAATCCATACAATTCCTAGCTTGTTGCCTTTTGTTATCTGAGCTTTATCTTTTCTCTGAATCCAGTAGATACCTATCTAAATAGCAAGCCGAATCCCCCAAATCAAAGTGTGCAGTTGCAATAGTAAGTTTTGATTGGTAGAATAAACTAATCTACAGAACACCATGCAACTCCATGAAGAACGTTTTTAATTTCCCACAGCGTGTTCGTCGTTCGGCATTTTCCTAAGGATTACCAAATGCTGAACTAGCTGACTAACTACTGATTTTTAATATCTAAATAAACCGAGACACTGCTCCTCTTTCGTAAGAGTTACTCAGGCGTTACACTTTTCTCCACGCTGTTCGAAAGAGCGCCAGGCGGGAAAGGCAGAGAGAACGCGAGTACGTACATTATACTCGTACTGGAGAGCAGCAACCACGTGGCCTCTCCGTATAGCACACACGAGGTTTGCTTTTGTTATGATTAAAAAATGCCGGTGTATACGATAAAGTTGTTCCACCTTGAAGTAACGCGATAACATTATTTAGAATACAGTAGTGTGGCGAGTTATCAGGGAATTTTCAAATTTCTTTATCAAACAAATTTTTAAGAATATAATATATTGAAATACGCCAGAGAGCATTCTAAAATCCCTTATAATATTTGATACCTGATACATAATACAATCAACTTTAACTTCGTCGTTAGTTACTTTTACTCTTTGAACATAATAATTCTGGAGTGGATTTATCTTCAATAACATAACTTCTTAGGCTTGAATAGAGTTTTTTTAACACTCCGAAAAAATGTGTAACGGCAAATTGGCAATGTTGGAAAAATCATTACTCAGCAATTTATCGACAGATTTTTAAACCTATTGATACAGAATTAATCTTTCCAGTCTGTTGCATCAAGTCGCACCAATAGTTTCATTCATAATTAAATCTTGGACCTAATGAAATCAAACTTTGAGTCATTTTCAAAAATCTCGGACGAAAATAAATATTCAAGGCTACGGACATAGAATAAACCCCAAGGGCCCAGATTTCAAATAAATTAATGCCCTTGCAAAAGACTCAAAGAGAATTTAAAAGCATCTCTAGGGATACTTTCAGGGGAATTCAAAGGAGAATATCAAAAGATTATTTTTAGGATGTGAAATATGAGGATTCCTTTCAAATCAGTTCTGAGGAACTCCAGATTCCAGGTGAAACATAAGGAGAGTTCCAACTTAGTTCTGAGTAGAATGCCAAGTAAATTGGAGCCTCATAGCCTAGTCAGTAAAGGCACGGTATTACCAAGCCGGAGGCGGCGGGTTCGATTCCCGGTCCGGTCGAGGGAATCTTTCTGGTTGGAAATTTTCTCGACTTCCCTGGGCAATAGAGTATCATTGTGCTTGCCACACAATATACAAATTCATGCATTGGTAATTGGCATCGAAAGCTCTCAATTAATGACTGTGGAAGTGCATTTAGAACACCAAGTTGAGAGCACGCAATAAGCTAATAAGCACTAAGCAATAAGCTTGAAATGCGAACAAGAAGGAAGCCAAGTAAATTTACAGGAGAATACTCTGGAGCATTCCAAGGCAATTCCAAAGAGAATTCAAAGAGTAATTTGAGGCTTTTCTAAATGATTTGTAAAGAGAGGAGAACTGAATGTTAGTTCTAAGGTAAACTCCAAGGCCTATTTGCAATCAAAATTCCAAGAGAAGTAGGAGAATCCAAAGGGAATTCAGAAAATAATTCAATGAAAATTCTGAGGAGTATTCCATAGAAGTTTTGCGGGAAGGTTCAAAGAATTTTTTTAGCAGCGCTGGTGGTGTAGTGGTAAGCGTGATTGTCTCTCACTCCAAAAGACCTGCGCTTAATCCCATTAATCCATAAAATATCTAGATAAGATATCTGATCACAGAAAGTAAAGCCTTTGGTCCCCGGTCTATGAGTTTTTAGGTCGATAGGTAGGGTCTAGGTGTGGAAGCTGCCTCCTTGGCGTCGGTAGTATTGGTACTCAGTACGGAAAACAAGATCGACGGAAAACAAATCAAGGAAAAAAACAAAAAAATCCAACGAAGTTTTGGGGTAAATTTCAAAGGAATAATATAGAGAGTTACAAGGTTGATAATCATCTTTAGAGAACTCAAAGAAGAGTTCCTAGGAAATTCTGACGACCATTTCGAAGAATTTACAGAACTACTCCAAGGGAATTCTGACCGGAATGTAGAGGGAATTCCGAAGAATATTCCATGGGAATTTTAGGAGAATACTTAGCGAATACTGAGGAGAATTCTTCGGGGAATTCCTAGGTAATGTAGCAAGAATTGTTAAAAAATTTATGATAGTTCAATTCAAGTAGATATGATCCCCAAAGAGGGGTCTAGTGATATCAGAAATGGAATCAAGTGTTGGATGGATTTTCAAGAAAGTGAAAAAGACAAAATTCATGTGTTGCCAAAAACGGGAAGGCACTGTACTACTAAAAACCCTTTACAGGATTTCATTAGAATATTATGAAGCATTTCCGTTGGAATCATTTTTCTAAAATAAGTTTGAGATTCTCTCTGAGAGTCCCTAAAAAATGTATTTATAATAGCTGATCAATCAAAAAAAGCATGATATCCATCCTTAGATTTTTCTCGACGCTTCCGTCCATAGTTCAATTTTAAATTCACTTGAATTCTCTTTAGAATGCCCAAGCCATTAACCTCAGAACGGTCTTGAAATTTTGATTAGAATTATCTTGGAGTTCTCTTCTAAATTGTTCTGAAATTTGCTTAGAAATTTCCATATAATTATCTAGAAATTCGTTTCGTGATGCCCTTGGAAGTCCCTTAAAATTATTCCTTCGAAATTGTTCGCTCAACATTAGATTCCCTTTCACGGATCCAGGGATCCTCTTTACAACTGGCTTGAAATTTTCCAAATAGCTACTCTACCTTGAATCTGATCTCACACAAGTGCCTTGGAATTAAAGTCTAATATCTCGAAGATTCTAAAATACCTGGGTATTATCCCTGACATTCATTACTTACTTACTTAAGGGTCCTGTGCACCACCAGCGGTGCAAAGGGCCAACCTAAAAAACTTCCATCCTGGGCGGCTGCTCGCTTTTGCCTTGACCTGGGCACAGGTCAGATTCCTATCGATTTGCTTAATTTCCTTATTGAGGCTCCGCCGCCATGAGCCCCTGGGTCTGCCTCTGCTGCGATGTCCTGCTGGATTCCAATCCAGCGCTTGCTTGTAGATTTCGTTTCCGCCCCGTCGAAGTGTGTGGCCGACCCACCTCCACTTTCGCTCTTCAATTTCTGTTGCTATCGGCTTCTGATGACATCGACAATATTCTTCTTCTTCTTCGCATTTCAAGCTTATTGCATATCGCATATTAGCTTATTGCGTGCTCTCAACTTAGTGTTCTAGATGCACTTCCACAGTTATTAATTGAGCGCTTCCGATGCCTGTACCGTTTTTGCATTAGTATAATTGTGTGGCAAGTCCAATCATACTCTATGCCCAGGGAAGTCGAGAAATTTTCCAACCCGAAAAATACCTAGACCGGACCGGGAATCGAACCCAGCCAACTCCAGCATGGTCTTGCTTTGAAGCTGCGCCTTTACCGACTGAGCTAAGGGAGGCCCCATGACATCTACGATGGAGCTCGGCATTCGAGATCCAGTTTTGAGGCCATTAAATAGGCACGAATTATATACCACAGGCATCGGTTGATGAAGACCTGCAGCTTTTGAGTATTCTCCGCTGATACACACCACGTCTCGCTGGCGTATAACAACACAGATTTTACGTTCGAGTTGAAAATTCGGATTTTGGTGCGTTAACTTATCTGGTTTGATCTCCATACGTTTCGTAAACTCGCAACCCTAGTCTTCTTGTTTCGTGCACCTATGTCGCTCTTGGTCCCGCCGTCCGACGCTATTTGGCTGCCAAGATATTGGAAACTTTCGACCTTCTCCACTGCTTGCCCCGCTACCGTAAAGTTGGAAGGGTTGCCCGTGTTGATATCCAACGATTTGGTCTTGTTGACGTTGATGGTGAGACCCGCCGCAGAGGAGCGTTCGGCTAGGTCATTGAGCTTACTATGCATATCAGAGCGCCGTTGTGCTAGTAGAGCAACATCATCAGCCAAATCGAAGTCGTTGAGATGCTCCATGGTGATAGGCTGCCAAAGCAGTCCACGGTTCGGTACACGGTCAATTGCACCCACCATGATCTCGTCGATTTCGATGAGAAACAGTAGCGGTGATAGTATACATCATTTTCTCACACCAGTGACTACCCGGATAGGGTCGGACAAGGCTCCGTTATGCAGAACTCTGCACGTGAAAGCCTCATACTGCGCTTCGATGAGGTTGACGAGTTTATCCGGGACTCCCTTGCGTCTCAGGGTGCCCCACAGATTCTCGTGATTGAGCCGGTCGAAAGCTTTTTCGTAGTCAATGAATACCAAATAAAGGGACTATTGGAACTCATTGACCTGCTCCAGGATGATGCGGAGCGTGACAATATGGTCCACACAAGATCTTCCGGCACGTAATCCTGCCTGCTGCCGTCGGAGAGTCGCGTCGATCTTCTCCTGTATCCGATTCAGGATAACTTTGCACAGAACTTTGAGAACAATACACAGTAACATGATGCCTCGCCAATTGTCGCACACAGTCAGATCCCCCTTCTTTGGGACCTTCACTAAGATGACCTACATCCAGTCGGCCGGAAAAGTCGCGGTGTTCCAGATATTACAGAATAGTTGATGCAACATTTGTGCGGATAGCATGGGGTCAGCTTTGAGCATCTCTGCTGATATGCGATCGACCCCTGGAGCCTTGTTGGATTTCATGCTTCGGATAGCTGCTTCAATCTCCTGCAGTGATGGGGCCTCGGAATTGACGCGAGGGATGCGCCGCACCCTAGGCGGATCATGCCGAGATGTTGATGGCTGGTTGGCCGTCGAAACTTGAAGAAGTTGTTCGAAGTGCTCAAACCAGCGAGCGTTTCAGCTGGTCAGTGGGGTCGGTAAGCAATTGTCCAGTCGTGTTCTTCACTGGCATCCTCGGGTTCATCCTTGCTCCACTCAGGCGTCGTGAGATATCGTAGAGGAGGCGTATATCGCCAGTGTTTGCCGCTTTCTCTCCTTCGTCGGCCAGGGAGTTCACCCACGCTCGCTTGTCCCGTCTGCAAGAGCGCTTGACTTCCTTCTCTAGAGCCGAGTACCGTTGACGGGCTTCGTTCTTGGCTCCTCTGGTTCTCGCCCGCTCTATCGCGGCTTTTGCTTCTCTACGCTCCTCAATCTTCCGCCAGGCTTCATCTGTGATCCACTCTTTCCTCTGGGTGCGCAGCTCACCCAAGTTGTTCTCGCTTGTTTCTATAAAGGCATTCTTGATGGCCGTCCATTGTTCTTCTACGCTGCCACCTTCTGGAACGTCCGCAGCTCGAGTCTCAAGTTCATGAACAAAGGACCTTTTTACCGCTGGATCTTCAAGTCGGCGTGTGTTGAACCGCCGCCTGTGTATCTCCTCCCGTCGCTGGATCCGCGCCATGCGTAGGCGGATTTCACCGATTAGAAGGTGATGTTCAGACGCGATGTCGGCGCTGCGTTTATTCCGGACATCAAGAAGGCTCCGTCTCCATTTTCGGCTGATGCAAATGTGGTCGATCTGATTTTCGGTATGTCCATCACGGGAAACCCACGTGACTTTGTGCACTGGCCGATGGGGGAAGAGCGTGCCCCCGATCACCATGTTGTTATTGCCACAAAATTCTGCAAACAGCTCACCGTTCTCGCTCATTTCGCCGAGACCATGGCGTCCCATGACACGCTCATAGTCCGTGTTGTCGGAGCCGATCTTCGCATTCTAGTCGCCAGTGTAGATCTTGATGTCACCCTTTGGAACCTTATCCACGACGGCATTCAGTTGACTGTAAAAATTCTCCTTGTCCTGTAGCTCGGCAGCATCGGTTGGCGCATAACATTGGATTATGGTAAGGTTACGAACCCGTGTTCGTTCATTCAGGTTACGAAACCCTTACATTCATTCTAAAATCCAAAATCTTCTCCAAAATTTCAAGGAAAAAAAATCTAGGTGGTCCAAGAATCCAATGCCGATTTTTTTTGTTTTTTTGAAACACAGATTAAATAAAAAAAAATCCCGATTTGTCAGCATAATTCACGGGTTTTTCCCGGTAACTTCGAATTCCAGGCTTCTTCCCAATTAATCATTTTGTCAAGCTTCTGCATTCGTGTTCCATCAGATGTCACTGCTGTTGTTTGCGGTGACATCTATCGGAAACTACGCATAATCTGTTTTCCGTTAATTGTTCATAGAGGACTGTGCAGTGCAAAACATGTCTGGTACTTCTATATATGCATTTAGATTAACATTCGAAGTCCCTCCTTTATTACACATTCTGTACAAAAAATAGATCACCCCTTACAGGATTTCCCGCCGATTTTTATGAATGGGGTGGGGCAGAAAATATCTATATATTAGTCTAAATGCATATATAGAGGTACCAGACATGTTTTGTAGTGCCAGGTACTCTGCTTTGTAATCTGTGAAAGGGAAATCACAAATCGAGTGTCATCAAAATACATGGCATGTTGAGAGATTGAGCTCGTTAGAGAGAATTTTCTTTCTCAAATTTTAATTTTTTCTCTCTCTGGGTAGTAAAGCGGTTAAAATATGTATGGGAATAAAACCTTGTTCATTTAATTGTAGCTTCTTTAATAATAATTCACAGAAAATAAGTGAACGACAAAGGCCACGAATGATTTCTTTAGGTTGTCGTTCACTGTTTTGGACCTCAATATGCACCGAAAGCGAATTATTCCCACTTCCCTTAATTAATATATGGGGATTTTTATCACATCCCACGAGATGAACAGCGCCATCACTGTGGAAAATGGCCGGACGATATGATTAATTTCCCGGTTCACTCATCTCACACCTGCCCGATATCATCCGATTGACTCTCCACAAATGAGAGAGCGAGATATATCGTGGGTTTCGTGGAATATTGGCTCAACTCAAAATATGTCAATTTTCTCAATCAACGTTTGAAAATTTGGGTTCAAGGAACCTTCTGAATTTCTGTGTTTAGTTTCCATTTGATGGATCTTTTCATTTGCATTGGACTGAATCGAGTGTATTTCATTCATTCTATCAAACATCAGATCAAAAAAATAAACCATCCAACGATTTTAACTGCTTTTTATTGACGTAGGATTACGTCTTTCGGCAACATATTGGGGGTGCAATTTAAAAAAAAAAAACAAAATCCACCGCGTTACGAAAAGTGGTCAGGTTTTGACCACTTATAACTCTGTCAATAGCGGATGGATTTTTATTCTAAACAAGCCAATCGATTGGAAATTTTAATACAAATCTGTTGAAATGAACACTTTATCAATTTTCAGTAGGTCACTATTGAACATTACACAAATGTCCAACTGTTGCAATGTTGATCAAAATTATCACCGATTGCCTGCAAAAAAAAACTACAAGAGACAGCCCTATGGGGTTGTACCATAGAGGTAACTCTAAGACTAGAAGGTCCCGAAATAACGTGCTCACCTTTGGCTCAGCTCTGGTACTCTCTTCGGTCCCTAGCTAATCGATTCACTCGCCACAGCGACTAACGAAGAGCTACTGATTCCAATCAATAGCGGTGCGGCTTTTTCCTCCTACTATGGATGCTCATGTGGGCTGCAGCTCGCTGCTTGCAGGCAGCCTTTCGTTGTGTACTGGAGAACAATGTTGAACGCCACGCGTCGAAAGCGCTGCTGCTGCTGCTGTTGCTGATGCCGACGACCAGACACCACCACACACGGTGATTGGACTGAATCCGATCAGCGGTTGAGGGCAGCCTTGATAGCTAGCTTGCCGGGAGCCTTTCGTTGTGTACTGAAGAACACCAACACTCATAACGTGGTGATTGAATAAAAACCGTTTGGTGAGACCGGATGGAATTCAACTTTGAAATCTGTGCTAGGAAAATAGTTTTGTCGCAGGCAATCGATGATAATTTTAATTGTCATAGCAACATTTGCACTTTCGTGCAGTTTTCAATACTGACGTTTTGAAATATAAAGATATGATAAAGTCTTAAATGCCTAGAAATATTTCTGATCGATTGGTGTTAACATTATTGAAATTGGTCCAGGGGCAGCTGAGTTATTAACGTTCAAAATCTTTCATAATGTTGTTACATGTTCCATTTTCGCTCCATTTCGTTTTCACAAAGTGTACCCCCATATAGAAATCACAGACGTAGTCCTACGTCAAAAGTGGTTTTCCTAACACTGTCGCCGAATATTTAATCCGAGCACGTAATCCTACGAGAAATCCACGGTCGTGTCTTGAATACAACCTCTTAATTTTTGAGATGTGCCCTTTTGTCATGCAAAACTGGGTTTCCTTTTTTGAGCTGTAACCATATTGCATGAAAAAAACAACATGCTTAAAGAACAACAAAATTGCATATTTAAGTCGGTTACATAGACGCAACACAAAATGTGCCATTGATGCTACTTAATTTTCAAAATTATTGAAAGAGCAGCAAAGACATATCTACCTATAACTTTCGATTTTTCATGAAGTTCAAAATAAGTTTTTGAGGGATGAAACTTCACAGTATTTGCCGTCATCTGTCATCAAGTCTCGCATCTTCACGCATCTACTTGCATTGCGCATCATCTTTTTGCATGAAATATTCAGAGTCATCATCAATCTTTTTTCTATCTACTCAGCGTGCGCGCAGCTAGCCACAGCAAAACACAATCTTTCCTGCATCGTAGATAGAGTCGCCTCTCTCGCGATGCATATGAAATCACCAGTCGGATCGGATGATATCAGGTAGGTGCGAATTGAGCTTAATACAAAAACGGCTCGTTGCAGAGGTGAGTCTCCTTCCACCCACCGCCCGCTGGTTGGCAAAGGTGATCCACTCATCACGAGAGAGTAAAAAATCCCGCCTTTTACCGCTAGCGAGCTACTGCTTGCTGCTGAAACTCCCTTTAATTTTCTCTGAAATACCTTGCTGTTATCCCTGACATTCATTCTAAAATCTAAAATCTTCTCAAAATACATTAGAAAAAAAATTTAGACTGGTCCAAGAATCTTAAAATTTATGAAATGCCTAAAATCTTTGGTACCATGAGCAATCTGCTCAGCAGTGCTCTTTTATAACTTTACAGGTCCAAGTAGAACGATGCGCAACCAAGTTGAACTCGATGATGACGACTGGGTTAGGGAAAACGTTTTTTTTCATGAAAACAGTGATAAAATTCTCATTTGTTCATTTTTTGAATGCTTTTAGGGAAAATTTAATAGGTATTTCAGTAGGTTAGTAGAGTTATATCCTATCGATTGGAGTGTTTGGATTTTAATGTTATCCATTAATGGCAAAGTCATAAGTGTTCGAAACCTAACACCTTTTCGTGACGATCGCAACTTTAGATTTTTGATTTACCCCCTGTGCCTTCCCGTAAGACGTAGTCTACGTCAAAATCAATCGAGGCATTAGTATTTTCAGGTGTGAGAATTCTGAACTGAACCACCGAAATAAGTTAGCAGGTCAAATAAAAAAAAGCCTATCCAATAGACCTTTTTTCTCCAGAACTGCATAGGATGGCTGTGGAAGAGTTTCGAACTAAATCCTAAAATTGAACTGGTAACCTTTCCTTCTACTTGACGTATCTATTGTAAAGCTCGCAAAACTAAAAGGGACCAACCATTTTCGGATGATTTCGTATCAAACACATTTCTCATCCGTATAATCATTATGCTTCTACATATTTATTCCAATGATGTATGTCAAATTAGGTTTTGCTTAACCGTATAAAAGTGTAACCTCCATCTCACAACGTTCGAGTTCTCGAACGGAAGCTGCTGGAGCATTTGCCGCCCTCATTACGGTACTCCTCATCGTCGGAATGGCTGACGGGCACATCGTTCCCCGCCGCCGACTCGCTTTCACTTTCATGTTTGTCGTCACTCCCGGTAGCACTGGCATCACTAGTATCACACTTCTGTCCCTTGAGACCGCCACGAGCAGCCTGTGCCAAGCACATCCTCTTCGCTAGCGACTGCTGCTTTGCCTCGTTCGAGGGTCGTCTTCCGGGAACCACCACCGGTGGCTTACCTTGCTCTTCCTGTGGCTGTTTGCGCTTGCGAACTTTCACGCTGATCTGGTGGGTGAGAGCGAGCAGCTTGAGGCAATCCGGACAGAATTGGCTACCTCGGAATGAATCTGCTGGCACCTCGAAGTGCCCCAGAAGTTCTTCCACTTCTCGGTCGTTTTTTCCACAATTGCTTAGCGGGGCTTTCGGCCGTAGGCACATGGAGCAGGGTTTAGTTTCCATTTCGTATTTTGTTGTGATTTGTCCCAGAGTCTGTTGGGTAAAGAGAGTAGAAAAATTAGATTATCCTCAACGTCAAACACAATTGCTGCCTAACCAGGTGGTTCTTAATTTCAGTTTATTGAGTTTTCAGTAATCACATTTCTATGCCTATTGTTGCATACTTGACATCGCTTTCACAAATACCAATGCACCTACACAATGGCACTAACAAATGATGGAAATTCAAGTAAAATGGAATGCACACAAACTACTACCCAACTTACTTAACATAATTGGCAGCTTCAAAAATCTTGTAATCCGGTAGGTGTCATGCTTTTTTCGAAATCTTTCACGTCGTTTTTTCTTGCCACATTAAATCACCGTTTGTCGCATATTTTTGATGAGTTGTGTCTTATTTTGCCCCTCGATTGCAGCCCGGTTTCCTTTCCGTTCATATGTTGAATATTTTCTCGATGAGATAAACTTCTAAATCTCTGCGACGTCGACGTCGAGAACAGCGATGATGACGATGGAGCCTTTATTTTCACATTGTCGGATGTTGGTGGGATGTTTTCCTTATTATCCTGATTCAGCAAAGATGATATTAGTTGTTGAGGCTCATGCTTCTTGGCGCATGCCTTAGCGGTAGTAGTTTTGTCCGATTTAGACAACTGTTTAAGATCTACGATGCTTCCGAACAGGAATTTGTCAGATTTCATGTATTCTTTTGATTGTTTCCTGTCAGATTTTGCTTTAGTTTTGTCTTCGGGCGGCTCATCACTTTTCTGTTTTTCAATTTTCTGGCACTGCTTCTTACTGGCATTGTTTACCGTGTCCTTCCGAATCGTTTCGGATGTCTTACCAACTGGTTCTTTTCCGGACTGCTGCAAACTCTTCTCCGCTCGTCGTAGTTCCTCCTCGATCATCTCCGTCCGGGGATGATTTCTTCCATCCTTGACATAGGATCGAATCAAGTTTGCCGTAAGATTTCCCAGAACGTTGAACTGATAGAGAATGTCAATTAACTGCTGACAAACTGCGCATACGAATTGGGGGAATTCGTCGTCGCTCGGAAGAATTCGGGAGAAACACCAAACGAGACGATGATTCGCATCTATATGGACCAAATCCTTTTGTTGAAGGCAGATGCGACACATTTTGGCCGAATGCATTTCACTGGCTCGCTTTGCTATATGCTGGATGAAGTTGTTGGCCATGATGAAGAGTTCAATGCAACTGACGACTGATGAGGGATGATTTACAACAACGAACGACTCTCCTCGTTGGTTCGGTATGCTTGTATTAGTGAAGGGGCTCAAAGTGATATTCCCAAAATTATTAATCAACATGCCAACAAGAATCTAATTAAAAGTCTCAACCGTACGGTTTTAACTAATCAACCGAACGCCAGCTGTCCCTGTACCCACAAACAGCCAACACCGTGATTGTGCGAATTAAATGTTTTCTCTCAAACTATCCTATTATCAAGTGTCCCCCGACGAAACTTTAACAATATATAGGAGGGTACAAGATACCAAGCAGAGGAAAATACCCATCTCGACAACAACAACCGAACAACTTTTCTTAATCCGATGTTGCCCTGCCCTTACAGTCGTCGTACCCGGTTCCAATCTGCATCACACCCGCACACGACAAACCAACCAGAATCTGAAAGCATTCTTTTCAAAGCCTTCATCAACAACAGCCCCGATACCTATGTAGACCTACATACAAAGAAGCACAGACAACGGCACTCACATCTCCCGTATATTCATTCGTTCCTATGTGTTTGTCTTTTGTAGTCGCATCCTGCCTCCTTCCTATCTCGTCTGGTGTTGGCGTCTTCAAAAGTCTATTAGGACCCAGCGCTATCAAACCGCTATCAGCCATCATCAGAAGAGCAGTGATATAAAAATAAGAAATTTACACGCTTTCTCCTGGGAAACGTTGTGCCATCACACGAAGAATGAGCGGCTGTCTTCAGTTTGGTTTGAGTGGTAGACGTCGTGTGAAGAAGACTCGCCAATTTTTGCCATTGCCGTTCAAGGAAAATGGAATCAATACAACTCACTTATCGTTAGGGAACATGCATAACTGACGTAGCATTTGAGCGCGGAGTGGCGGGGGGTTTCAAAAGTTGTGACCTGCTATGCATCAGCTATGGCAAATTACGCTACGAGGAAGTAGGATGGTCCCTTATGATTTTGTATATAGTATGGCATAACTATGCACAACCCGATAAAATCCTCGACTCCATCGGCCTTATTGACTGTATTGATCATTGATTGATGACTAATCGGGAAAAATATACTTCGTCCTCTCTTCGGAAAAATAAGATTCTGGACCTTAAAAAAATGTCAAGACCTTTGGACTGGAGTCGATTTTCAGGATAAATTTACTTTGAAGAACTATTGGGGAAGAGTTTGTAACAAGTACGCTTTCCATTTATTTGTACAAAATTCATATTTATACAATTTATCCATTTAATTAAATTGCATGAAGTTGCGATTTTACAATTGAATTCAAAAATGTGTTCCCCGCCAAGAAATGTCCGCTCATGTAGAGTTACACTTGTCAAATCAATGAGTTCCCAATACGTTCAGCTAATTCATTTCATTTGACCCGAATACGCATCTGCCGTTAAAGTCCGCTTTGATCGTTTTTCAGTGAAAGATGATGAGAATTGTCGTTTGAAAGGTCCTTGAATTACTTCGGTAATTTGACGTACTTCCGGCCAAGATGACCGTTGAAGTCACACCTATCTGAGGGTTTCTGGAACTTCTACTCGTGTACTTTGACTTCAATCGTAGAAGAGGCGAGAGTGCGAGTAGTTAGAACTTAAGTGTATTTAGTGCAGCGGTGTGTTTTCGTTGTATGTGAAGTTAAAAATGTGAGAAGTCTAAAAGACTGAATTTCATGTTACATTTCTCGTTCCTTTCCGTTAGCCTGTAGAATTCAAACGTTAGGTCAAAAGTTACGTGCGGTCAACTTTTTGTGTGTGCAAATTGTGTAGAAAGGTAAGCAACGAGTAACGCTGGTAGATCACCTTTTTGTGGTGCGTTGGTGGTATAAGATCTACTTCCGAACCCTAGTCCTGACAACTTAAAACTAGGGGAGCAGGATTTTTCGGGAATCAAAGTAACACATTTTAGTCTTTTTTACTTTTTATGCCTTGTTAATAGTGACAAGACTCGGAAAAATAGTTACAATGCCTGTTGAATTCTGCGGTTAATTTAAATCAAATTTAAAATTATAATTAAAAAATTTTGAAGGAAGGGATACTTTTGGATAAGCATCACTGAGTAAATCTGAGCTTGTTCCAGTTAGAAGGACTCCGTTTGTTTCCTGCCGGGATGGCCTAAATCGTGCGTGATCTGTTTTACGGTTTTAGTTGGAACATAAGAAAAGCAATACTGCTTTCGAGAACGTAATTTCATTCGCGTCAAGGTGAAACTTAATGAAGGCCCAAGTTTTTCGGATTTGAGAGATTGTCGGTTGCAGGCTTGCTTACTGGGCAGGGGAACGCAGTCCCAGGCCCTTTCATATAAAAGATATGTATCGTCAAATTGCTTGAGCAACGGTATGATGTGATATGAGGGGCTCAGTGGTCTTGGAGCGATCATTTTTGCTTACTGAGCAGGTCATCATGAGTCTAGTCTCGCGTCCATTCACATTTAAGATTCGTCATTCGTTTTATTTGTTAATATGACTACAAGGTAATAACAGCTTACCTGCTTACTTATCCTGGTATGACATCCCTCAGGATTGCACCTGCATCACAATGTTACGCCAATTCACTCGGTCCGTGGCTGCTTGTCTCCAATTTCTTGATCGTCCCACACTTCCACTTGGTCTAACCACCTTGCTCGCTATGCTCATCTTCGTCTTGTACCGGGGGGATTGTTGTCCGGCATTCTTAAAACGTGTCCCACCCCCCATCGTACCCGTCCAGCTTTCGCAACGTTCTGGATACTGGGTTCGCCATAGAGTTGCGCCAGCTCGTGGTTCATCCTTCGCCTCCATACACCGTTCTCACATACCCCGCCAAAGATGGTCCTAAGCACTCGTCGTTCGAAAACACCTCGAGGTCCTCCTCGAGCATCGTCCACGTCTCGTGCTCGTAGAGAGCTACCGGTCTTATCAGCGTCTTGTACAGAGTACATTTAGTACGGAGGTGAAGTTTACCCGACCTCAGGGTCTTGTGGAGTCCGTAGTAAGCACGACTTCCGGCAATAATACGCCGACGAATTTCTCTGCTGCAGTTGTTGTCCGACGTCACCAATGATCCGAGGTACACACATTCATCCACCACCTCGAACGCATCTCCGTCGATTGTCATGCTTCTGCTTATGCGAGCCCTATCCCGCTCGGTTCCTCCAGCTAACAGATACTTTGTCTTCGACGTATTCACCTTTAATCCAACCTTCTCTGCTTTACGTTTCAGCCTGGTGTACTGCTCCGCCACGGCCTGAAACGTTCTTCCAAAAATGTCCACGTCGTCAGCGAAGCAGATGAACTGGCTGGACTTATTGAAGATCGTGCCCCGCATGTTAAAGCCCGCACGTTTCATAACACCTTCTAGCGCAATGTTGAACAGGAGGCAGGAAAGACCATCGCCTTGTCGAAGTTCTTTGCGAGTTTCAAACGAGTCCGATAACGCATCCGATATCTTCACGCAGCACTGTACACCATCCATCGTAGCTCTGATCAGTCTGGTCAGCTTCCCGGAAAAACCGTTCTCGTCCATAATCTTCCATAGCTCTTCACGGTCAATAGTATCATAAGCGGCCTTAAAATCGATGAATAGGTGGTGTTTTTTTTTTTTATTATAGTCATTTTAACGCTCTTGGGTCATTCGTGACTTGTCCGGAGGTGAGATTTGAACTCGTGACTTTGGCGTGAGAGGTATGGATGCTAACCACTACGCCGGGGTCGCCCCCAGAATAGGTGGTGCGTAGGGACTTGATATTCACGACACTTTTGGAGGATCTGCCGCAACGTGAAGATTTGGTCCGTTGTCGATCGCCCGACCACAAAACTGGCTTGAAAACTTCCCACAAATCTGCTTGCTAGCGATAATGATCTGGGAAAGCACTTTGTAGGCCGCGTTAAGAATAGTGATCGCTCGATAGTGCTCACATTCTAGTTTGTCGCCTTTTTTATATACTGGGCATATTCCTCCCTCTTTCCACTCATCCGGCAGCTGTTCTGTATCCCAGATCCTGTCTTTCAGTCGGTGCAGACAACTGGCCAACTTATCCGGGCCCATTTTGATAAGTTCCGCTCCGATACCATCTTTCCCAGCTGTTTTGTTGTTCTTAAGCTGTCGGATAGCATCCTTAACTTCACCTATCGTGGGAGCTGGCATGTTCCCCTCATCCGCTGTACTGGCGAAGCCATTCCTCCTGCCGCCTCTGCGCCGTTCAGATGTTCTCGTAGTGCTGCTTCCACCTTTCAATCACCTCACGTTCGTCCGTTAAGATACCCCCTTCCTTATCCCGACACATTTCGGCTCGCGGCACAAAGCCTTGGCGGGATGCGTTGAGCTTCTTGTAGAACTTGCGTGTTTCTTGAGAGCGATACAGCTTCTCCATTTCTTCGCACTCCAGCTCTTCCAGGCGGCGCTTCTTATCCCGGAAAAGATGGGTTTGCTGTCTTCGCTTCTGTTTATATCGCTCCACATTATGACGGGTTTCTTGCTGCAGCATCGCCGCCCGTGCTGCGTTCTTCTCGTCCAAAACCGTCTGACACTCTTCGTCAAACCAATCGTTCCGTCGATTCCGCTCCACAAATCTAACGGCACCTTCAGCAGCGCTGTTAATGACTGCATTCACGTAGCTCCAGCAGTCCTCAAGAGGGGTTTCGGTGAGCTCTCCCTCAACCGGCAACGCTGCATCGAGGCATTGCACGTAGCTACTCAGTTGCGACCTCGGGCAGTTTCAGTCGCTCCAGATTGTACCGTGGCGGGCGTCGGTACCGAATGTAGTTGGGAACGGAAAGTTTTTGGCGCACCTTGACCATTAGAAGGTAGTGGTCCGAATCGATATTTGCGCCGCGATAGGTCCTGACGTCGGTAATGTCCGAGAAGTGCCTTCCGTCGATCAAAATGTAGTCGATTTACGATTCTGTCTGCTGCGGTGATCTCCAGGTGTACCGATATGGGAGGCTATGCTGGAAGTAGGTACTACGTATGGCCATGTTCTAAGAGGCGGCGAAATCGATGAGTCTAAGGCCGTTGGCGTTCGTTAGCTGGTGAGCGCTGAACTTTCCTATAACCAGTCTGAATTCCTCCTCCTGGCCGACCTGAGTGTTAAGATCTCCGATGACGATTTTGACGTCATGGCTTGGGCAGCTGTCGTATTCCCGTTCCAGCTGCGCGTAAAAAGCGTCTTTATCGTCATCGTCACTTGCTGTGCACGTTGATTATGCTGACATTGAAGAAACGGCCTTTGATCCTCAACTTGCACATTATGCTATCGATTGACCACCACTCAATCACGCGCTTCTGCATTTCGCCCATCACGGTGAAAGCTGTACCCAGCTCATGTGTATTGCCGCAGCTCTGGTAGATGGTATAACCATCCCTATACGTATGTACCAAAGATCCCTTCCAGCAAACCTCCTGCAGCGCTACGATGTC